TAGAATTCTTGGGCAAGGTCGCCATAAGAGAGGCCCAACTCGATGTCCTTGAAGCGGCCGATCGCAGCAGCACCAAGCATGGTGAAGCCGACCCCTGCCTGAATGAAAACACCACGATCGAGAATTGTATTGACGAAAGCGATGACGAGTTGATACCAGAGCAGAGCGTTCGACCAGTAGAGAGCGCCGAGGGCTTCCGAGAGAACGGTACCAAGAGCGATTACGGTTTTGTCTTCGCTCAATGGGGCCGTCAGGAGTGCCTCCTTATCGAGTTGTTGAAGTCGGAGCTCTAGCTTCTTGAATTCGACGTCGCATTCCTCCCAGGTTACTTCTGGCAGCGGAAGGCCTAGCCCTGCCAGACATTCTCTCTGGCTCACGAATGCGTCCATGAAATTGCCTTGAGAAGCCAGCACACGTCCTTTTAGGATGTATGACCTGGTTTTGTCTGCCGAGCACCGTGCATGGGAAAATGTCTCGTTGAGAAGTTCCAGAGCCGCTGCCTCCTCTCCCTGAAGATACATGATTTCAGCGGTATTAACGTGAAGTTGAAGAGTTTCATCGTAGAAGACATCTGGATTATCCGTGTTCCATTTGTCGTCTTGTAGCAACTGGAGCGCAGTCTTATAGTACCAAAGGCCCGTAGGCTTCGCGCCAGTTTCAATTGCCTTTTGCGCTCCCCGCCAGAGAACATCGCGGTACCGCATGCGAGTTGGAATCCTCTCTTTCACAATATCTGCAGACAGACATATGTGACGTGCCAAAGGGTACAAATTATACTTGCACTGACTGAGGTACGTCATCATCGCTTGAGCAATAATGAAATGCATCTTGGTGGTGTTCTGACACTCGCGCATTTCGTTCGCCGCTTTCAAGTATCGCCCGTGCGCAAAGCGGAATTCGTCATCGGTCTCGCCTGGATTGATGATGTACATGTTAACGAGTTGTTGAAGTGCATTGATGCAATCGGTTTCCGATAGATTGATTAATTTGGCGCGTTTGGGACAAGTTGCATCGTGGGTCTGATCTCTTCCGCTGCTGTAGAAGAAATCCCCGGTCACAATGGATTGGATTAGCTTGAAGGAGAAAGTCGTTCCGATCAAAGAGGCCCATGCGAGGATTGACCTTGCGGCGGGCGGTAATTCTTGTAGCCGACGTGTCAGATAGCCGTTGTCCGTGCAGCCTTCACTGCTGAACTCATTGAAAATCTTGTCTAGATCGAACTGCCAACCTGATTCTTTCCAATCATACCACAGACAGTTCCGTTGATAACATGTCTGGAGAATATCCTTGACGAGGAATGGATTCCCTTCAGATTTGGCGTAGACGACGGCAGCAAGGGGTAGAACGGTCTCCACAGGTTGAGACATTGTTGCTGCTACGTATTCAAAGACATGCTTTTCGCGCAGATTTGCCAATTCGATCTTGTTGGTAGAATCGAGATCGAGAAGTTTGACCATCGGTTCAGGAATGTTCCCATCCTCCACTCTGCTTGACAGCATAAGCACAACCGGCACCTTCGCTCTGATGATATGCATCAGCAGCTCGATTGATTCACCATCAGCATATTGCAAGTCGTCCAAGCAGACGCAGATGAGCTTCCCAGTACAGATTGTGCGTAAGACGTCCATATACGTGTTGATTAGTCGAATGGACTTGGTGTTGGCTGGTCCCCGCAAAAAGTCATTGGCATCCCACGTGCCTTGGTGAGGCGGAATGACATGCGTTTTGGGACCATTGCTGTCAATTGTGGGAACTTCGGTGTTGATACTCTGGTTTGCGGTATCTGTTTTGACCAAGAGCTTCTTGGAGAGGACCGTGACATCAAGTAGCGTCGAAGGAAGATCCAACATCGAGTGGAGGATCGGCCAGAAGGGTGTAACGTGAGCGCGAAGGTGCTCGTGATACGGTGTATTGACATCTTTCTCGGAGAAGATCTGGCGGAAGAGGCTTGCCATGACCTTGATCAAGGGTTCAAAAGGAGAAGGTCGCGCCCTATCAAATCGGCCAAGGGCGAAATAGCCATGGCGACGGATAACAGGCTGCACTGCCTTGATCAAAGCAGTCTTACCAACTCCTGCTGGCCCCAGGATGCTTATGACCTCGGTCTTTGACCTTCGCTTGTACTTGTGACTATTTCTCCTTCGATTCATCATCCCGGGTAGTATATCAGTTGCAGGCTGCAGACCACCCGAGAAATTGCTGTCCCGGTCGGACAAGACGTCCAATGGCGCGATCCTGGGGTCGGCGATGCCTCGAGTACGCTTTCCCAACAAATTGAGATTGGGTTTGCTGCTATAACCCGGAGTGTAGGCGCCATCCAATCCAATGGTGGTAGAATTACTCCGAGACTCCCGGAAACCGAACGAGCTTGAATCGTCAGAGCCCGGGGCCTCTTCCGCTCCATCCACGCGACTGTCTGAAACGGAAGAATTGGACCCAGCACTCAAAAGACCATGCTGTGAAGGGGACGGTCTCGCGCTCGACGCGCTGTGCCGCTTCTGAGCCTTGTCGATGATCTTGGTGATACGTTCCGTCTCCGCATGTCGGCCAAATTGTTTGGTGGGTAGGATGAAGAAGGATGAAACGTCTCGTTGCCCGACCTTGTAGTTTTTGATCTTTTCCTGGTCTCCTTCACCTAGGTATTTTTGAATCTGTACCAAATCATACCTAAGACCACTCATTGAATGATATCGCTCATCCATCTGCTTCTGGGTCATTTTTGCAATGATATGAGCAATGGCGTCAGGAACATCCATGCGGATTGCGGTGACCAAGGGAAGGCGATGTGTGAGAACACGCTGGACGATGTCGATAGGGGTCTCGGCATCGAAGGCGGGCTGTCCAGTGAGCAGTGTCCAGAAGAGAACCCCCAGGCTATATATATCTGTGCGACTATCGGGTTCGGCTGGTAACCTCCCAGTCTGCTCGGGAGCAATAAAATGTAGTTTATTCTTGACTCCAATCTCGCGGCTGAGGTTGGCCCACCCCTCACTCGACAGCAGATTTTCGAACGCTCGAGGCCCGTTTCCAACGTTGGCCAGTTTGACCGCGCCTGTCTCGCGGTTCCAGTGAAAAGTGTCTGAGCGAACCTCGCCATGGACACTATTGGCACCGTGATGCAACAGCTCCAGTGTTTCCGCGGCGCCAACGGCAAAATCTAGAAATGCCTGGAGTGGTATTCGCTCTCCGGGAGTACCATCGGCAACACTCATCCTGTGGTTGTTGAGACCATAGAACGCTGGTCCCATGTCCAGAACCTCCCGAAGATAGTTTTTGCCCGGAGCTTCATATACACAGACGACTATAGGACGGGTATCACCCGGTGTGGTAGGTAATTTGAAGATCTCAAGGGGTCGGACGGTATGTTCGCATTCCGGGTCGGCATCCTTAACGATGGCCTGGTTATAGTAGAACTCTCTTTCTAGACGCAAGACATGCGTGCTGATGCGCGCCACAACGGGCATCCATATTGGATCCGGGTCGCCTTTGGACGACAGATTCTCGCTGTCGGTCGAAGTACCGCTAATGCTACTCCAGTGATGGTGTCGGAGGGCGGGACGGTAAGGATCGAGTTTAGGAGAACTTCTGGTCGAACCGGAGGGGACGGAATAGCTGTTCAAGGTACTTATTGACTCGCGCGGGTTGACAACGTCTGGATTATGTAGGACACCGTAGACATGCCTGTTTCGAGCACCCGTTAGTTATTATCCGCGGAATGCGACTTCTGGAGATCAGTCACTCCAGGGAAACTCACCAGTGATCGTAGCTAGTGTGGAATGGCACGAACTGCAAGCAATCCAAAATCAGCATTCACCTCGTGTTTCAGTGCGATTGATAGAGATACCGAGCGATCCCATGTATAATTCGGTACTTGGGATAAACGTTCAAAGAGCCTGGCCGGCGCGATGGGTAGGTCCTCCCCCAAGATTTCTTCCATTTTCTCGTGCTGAGAGCGTGCCGAGTGCGGTCATGTCATATTGCAGGCTTGAGTGGTCTAGGCTCTCGGTGTGGAGGCAGCCAATATCCACGGAGGGCGACAGCAACGACGACAACCTCAGTTGCAGCGCTGAGGATAACGGCGAAGCATGTGGTGATGGAAAGCGGAGGAGAAGGGATAGATTTCGGTTAGGGAGTCGAGACACTCGAGATTGGAAATGGATGCCGGGATCGTCTGCGCGATCTTCGAGCGAGAAGGCACCAAAGAGGTGAGAGAAGTGCGTGGTTGATGATGATTAAGCGTCAAGAAATGACTATTTGGGCAAAGCCGTGGAAGCGGGCGGTTTGGAGGGGGCTGGCCAGGCTACTAGGCTTGGGCAGGTAAGCAGCACAGACTGCAGAACAAATGAGCGGCTGTCACACCACATTGCAGACCCCTGGCAGCCGTTTAAAGATGCGCACAGGTCGCGGAGGCACAGCTGGACTTCAGTTAAGCCCGCAGTTGGTTGAGCTCAAGCTTCGAACACCGTTCGCGATACCATGGACAAGTAGAGGAGGAGAATAGCACCAACCAAAATTCAACAAACTGCCGTCGCGGAGCTGGGCAGGGTCCTGATGATGCGGTCCTCCTGCCCCACCAAACCGCCTGATGGACGGGGTGCCTGAGGGGTGTTGCGCATAATGAGAAATGCGCGAGTCGGCGATTTTTAGCCCAAGCACGGAGTAGGTAGGATAATTGGGCGGAGAAGAGAGAGCCCAATAATCTCGCCACAGATAAGGGGAGATTACCTACTGATATACGGCGAAGTGAAACCTCACGAGGCACAAAAGAGAGATATTCCTGTTCAGCTACTGTGCGACACTTTTTGTCCTCTGACATTATTGCAATGGTTGTGATCCCCTTTGTGCTCTGTCCACTATTTGTCCGTCCATGCGTGCCCCAGGTCCAAATGACTCCCATAGCCAGCATCCCGACTTGTACCTGCCAACCATCCATGTCCACATGATAGGATTTGATTCCAGATTTTTCTTTCCACGGGTCATACAGATGCCGTTTGTCTCGCTCATTCGTGTGATACAAATTGTGTGACCGCCACAAAGGTCATCAGCATCGGCCACAGGTGCTTCAAGTTACGAAGAGATTGCGCGAAGGCATTGTTCGTGATTGGAGGCGTAATGCTGGGCTGTGGTGTTCTGGTTGGGATCGATGCCAGCGGTGTGCTACTTATAGTCACGTTGTCCCCAAAGAGTGTCGTCATTGTGGCCAGGTCACTGCTGGCACTGACAGTCGAGCCGCTTGTGTGGGTGGGCAACAGCGGCATGCTTGAGAAATTGGTGGTTGGCCGAGCTCCTACCTCACTGGCCGGTATCGCTGAGCCAACTCCTTTACTGGTCCATGGCGTTGGCATCGGCAACGTGGAGGTGTTTGGTTCCTCAAGCGTGTCTCCCTGATAGATATTTCCCGTCTGCCCATCCGCCAGACGATAGCTCCCTGTGATCAGGTTTGCAATGTCGCCATTGGGAGTTGTATAGTTTCCGGTGCTAATCGAACCATAAGAGCCATCAGGAAGGTAATAGTTCGTTGTGAACCTGTCCTAGAGAGAAACACCAAGCATGAGCTAGGGCTAGGAAAAAAGAGGCGAGAATAGTACCCAACACAATGGAACATTATAGCTCAGCACTAAAAGACACTGGGTTGTTTCAGCACCTGCTCAGAGTCAGTTCGTGATGTTGGGTGGTGGTTGTTGTTGTCACAAAATAGGCCTTACAGCATAAATTCCCTGGAGTTTCGCTCGCTCGATGCGCAGGAACAGTTCCCTCGCCGGACGACAGGAGGTGGACTGGCGCAGGTTGAAGGTTGACCGTTTGAATCAGATCGAGGTACAGCCTAGCCAATCCCGGACCGATTTCGGGCACATCCCTGGTGGAACTTCCGTCAGGTGAGCAGAGATGATATCCCGAGCCACATGATTGACGAGTATTAAGGTCACCAAGGCAAAGGCACAAGTGCATAAGCACGAGCAAAGGTACAACCGAGAGTGAGAGGGAAACTGAGACCATTTTGGCGCAAGTGAACGTCTTGGTTGGCGATGAATCAAGAGAGGGTGAATGCTCAGTCTCTCATGGCAAGGTCAACGTTAAAGCCACACGTCGAAGAGAAGAAGATTGCGTGAATGTGGCAATCTGGAAGAGCTGAGAGATGGTGTTGCCTGCGGTTGCGGTTGCGGTTGCAGTTTGAGGGAAACCGCTGCCCAGGTAGAATTCAAAGCGAGTGTCGCGGAAAGAGCGCAGCCACTCCTCTTTCCCTACCTTGATTCTGGTCTCTCTCAACATTTCAATATCGATGCTTTGGAATGAGTGCCGTCATAGTGCTCAACGACCTGCACCATTAGGAGTCAGTGCTGCCTCCCTGCCCCTCTCTGTTCCCGAATCTCATGTGAGTCAACATTTGTCTCGCGCTCCAAGTCCACTGCTTCCAAGTCCACTGCTTCCAAGACAGACTCTGGATGTAGCAAGTTGTGAGATGGCGCTTCAAATCCCGGCTCCTCCGTCATCCGACACTTCTACATGTTCATGATAAAATATGGCAGAGGGGACATTTTAGTTGACGGGCACTTCAACATCGATAAGTCGTATCTTTTTCAGCCGATCCCTCTCTCTGTCGAGCCTTCCCGCCTGCCCCGCGGCAACGGAAGGCTGGTGGATGTCTCAGTCGTTTCACCATCGACACGCGCGGAAGACCTGCCACTTACATATCTGGTCAAGGCCATCAACGAGTTGAAACAACAGACACTCGTGGACCGAAAGCTGAACCGGAGGTAATCAGCTGTGAGAGATTTGACTTCTTATCCAGTACTGTTGGTGATTCCGATTCTCCGACATCGTTGGACGGTGCTGCCAATGATCTTCCTGGGAAATCGCGATAGTGTATCTGATTGCCCGTCGAGGATTGCAACCGCTCCTCATGTTTTGTTTCTCCTGACACACTCTCCGCAAAGATGCGCGTTCCATGATTTTGCCAAGAAGCAACTCAATTCAATAGTGAAAGAGCTGGGAGAGGCTTGTTTATCAGTGCACGGCAGCAGGTGCTTGGAATAGGCGATCATCATTATAATCTTTGCTGAAGCAATCTTAAGCGCGAAAGAAGTTCAATATTGACGTCCCGTCAAGATCACCTTCAAATGCCCCTCGCGTCGGATTCGATGGAACTGGCAATTACTAGCAAGGTTCAGCCTCGTCGTTAATCACTCGACAGCCAATCGATAGCCAATCGACAGCCGGCACCATTGGCCCGTGCGCCTGTTTTGATCTTAACCAGCCCCTAGCAACTGGCGGCACGGTATCCACCACACTTAATTCCCGGCGCGGGTAGTTCAATCGGATAAGGATTGTGCAATGAAAATCTGTCTCGATTCGGGAGGCTGATGATCAAGAGATCAAGCCGCATCTCTCACACTAACCAAAACCACGAGGATCTACAGCTAATCCAGGTCGATCCACTAGTGCGAATCTCAATGTTGGATATCGCAAGAAATTTGGATGAACGTGCACGACCGACGCGTCGATGTCGTGCCCTATCCATCCACAGATCTCGATCATAACATGGCGTATACGAAGAACGTCAATCAGTGTATATAAACATCTAGGTCTCCTCGACTTTCAAGGTACATTCTCATCCTCATCATCAAACAGTAATACAACAGTCGCTCATTTCTTCTCAACCTCACTCCAGTCTTTCGTGCAAGAATCTATTTCTTCTCTACCACTTCAACCAAAAACCAAACCCTTTCAACCAAAACCAAACTCATCAAAATGCGCTGCTCTACCGTCTTCGCTGGCCTTCTCATGGCTGCCTCTACCATGGCTCTTCCTCTGGAGGGTGAGTTTCCCATCTAATCTTGACCAATTATCCAAGAGCAGTTACTAACCCGACGCTCAGCCTCTTCCAACACCGCCCTCCAGCCAGTCGAGGCTGCTAAGGACATTGCTGCAAGAGCTCCTGCTCCTCAACTCGACCTCACCGACCTCCTTGGAGACGTTGGCACTACTGTTACGAACCTGCTCACCAACTTGGAGCTGGTTTTGGACCCCGTCCTCGACGCACTTACAAACATCACCGCCGCCGTTGAGCAGCTGGTCATTGAGACCCAGACGACCACCGCCACTGGCGCGACCATCGGCAGCACCGTGTACACCCTGACGCTGACCAACACCCTCAACACTCTTCTTGGGCTTGTTGACAGCATCTCCGGCCTTGGGACCACCACTGTTGTCACCGGCGATGACGTGACTCTTGTCAACAGCCTCGCCACTTCCCTTGGACAGCTCTTTGATACCGTCCAGACTCTTCTCTCGGCTGACAGCACCAACGGCACCTTGATCAGCCTCTCGGACCTGCTCACCCAGCTCATCGCTGACGTCAACAGCGTCCTTGAGAACATCAGCACGTAAGCGACAGTGGTTGATGGGAATGGCAATGGCATGGCATGTATGGTCTTGCAAATTATCTTTTTGGGCAGGCCTTTCGGACTTCATGTTCCGTCATGGGAGAGGATCTTTCCGATCCATGGCATTGGCATAGATGGCGATGGCGATGAAGGCTGCCACAGGGGTCGCGCCGCAGGGCCATTTACGGGAACTCGGCTTTTTCCTTCTCTGATTGGGTTGAAACTAGGGACTATGGCAGTTAATCATCTCTTTCTTAATTCGGACACAGACACATAACTTTTTTGGGGTTTCACAAATCTTTTGGGGGTGGGGGGCGAGGAGAGGAGAGCGCGCATTCACATGGTTGAAAACAGCGGAAACGGTTTGAATGGCACATAGACACGACAACAAACAAAACATTTGAAAAAAACCTTTTTGCATTGGCATCATGTGATTTCGTGACAAATGATCGTCGGCTTCTAGTAAACCAACACAGCTAGGCACTCACTGGCACTCCAGGCTATCGTTCTTGGGATCTAGTAGAGGACCCCGCATTAGACTAACCCAGTCGTACAGGACCTAACAGAGTCACAGGCATCAGCCTCTTTCTTGTTCCAGCGCCCAAACTTGCCCCAGCAGACACTTGGCTAGCCAGGAGTAGAAAGCCAACCCCCGCCTCTTGCTAAAGGTTAAGCCATCCAGGTCGTGCTCTTATCTCTTCACACAGGCAGTTGGACATGGTCGCTCATGGTGCTATCGCTTTCTCCACCCTCCCCGGATCCGTATCCAGGGTCCTACCACTGTTGGTTGTTGAGCCGAGTGATCTCGCTAACCTCTTCAGCCCAGTCACCGGCCCCGTTGATCCCATCCATCTCATGTAGAGGAGGCAAAGCAGCACTGTTCTTACCACCAAATGCCACGTCGACGCCGGAGTCTTGGGTTGCGACTGAATTGGGCGGGCCAAGGGGTCCTTCGGTGCTGAAGGTGTCCCAGCCATTGGTACCTCCAGAAGTCACAGTTGTTGGTTCATCCCATCTACCTCCATCCCCTCCTCCACTGGCTCCGTCCAGGGCATGACCATTTTCGCCACAATAGCCATTTGTATGAACCCCGGACTTCTTAGGTTTGTCCTTCTCTTCCCACTTCTTTCTCACTTCAACCTCGTTTCTCTCACACCACTCATGCAGATCCTTGTCCAACTGGCTGATCTCCTGCCTCAAAACGCTCAACATCATCATGTCTTCAGGGGTCTCGTTCTCGTCAAGCTTGCCATTCCACCACGCCCAGAACACGGAAGCACCAGCAACTCCACGGACAGGATTTTCTCTCTCATCGGGAAGTGTCGCCAGTAGAGGGGTCGTGTAGAACCATTCGACTTCAGCCCAACTCATGAGCTGTTTCCGAGCAACGGCGGACATGCGTTTGACAATATGGTCGGAGAGGTCCCGCGGCGGAATACCCAGGTAGTGAGCAGAGATGATGACATTGGCGTAGGTGGTGAACAAGTTGGGTGCGTTGTCGTCGAACTGAAGAGGCGTATTAGTCTCGGTGCTGGAGAAGAAACTCAAGGGACTCACATCTTTGAACTTGATGATGTTCTGCTCGGCAACGCACTGATTGATCCAAGACAAAACTTCCTTGAGACCGTTCAAGCTACCACCAACGATAGTGAAGGATTTTCGGTTGTTGTCCATCAGGTCGTGACGAATGCGGTCGCAGAAGATCATGGCGGCATCTCGAGAGAATTTGCCATCAAGGAGGACCAAAGAGGAGTCTTTGGTTGGTTTGAAGAAGAGGGAGATTGTTGGTTCGGGATTGATCCTATGCGTGAGGGTGTCAGTTCTACAGCTCTGTTCTCCAGCAAGTTTCCTTATGAGCAACATCCGCATACGATGAGAGTTTGGCAGGAGGAATGCGAGGTCCACGATCCTCGCGCGGTTCGGGTGGTTGGCCCGATGGCTCGTCCATTGTGAGAGATATTTGAGTGGAGATGTTGAAGATTTGATAGTGTGGTGCGCTTCTTAAGGCCTAAGGTAGAGTAAGGAGGTAGTGGAAGTCTTGCGACGAAGGAAGAAATGAGGGCAAGGATGGAAAGAGCGATGAAAAGATCGCGAGAAGTAAAGTAAGCCGATGGCAAATAACAAGGCCTGCCAATCAACCACAACTGCTTTGAGGAGATCTGTAGTCCAACTAGAGACGGTCAATGTGATGACTGTTTGGTTGGCGGTCTAGCAAACACATTCAAATCTATACTGCCAAGCCTGTCGCTATCATCTTTGCATGGCAGCAATTGTCTTTGTCCACGGTATTGCCAATGCAGAACTTGATCAAGCCCCGATTCTCTCTCTTCCTTCTTTGAGGGTGCAGAATTGTTCTGGACTGGATCCATGCTGGCTCCTAGCGGACTGTAAAGGGCCCGTTCGCGCTGCTTTGCCGTAAGCTGCAAGGCCGGACGGACCGAAATCCATCCTTGATACGGAGAGGTCACACATGGAAGTTAGCCAGTTCATTTCGCACGCCAGTCAGCGCAGATGCACGGGGCAGAGGGGTCGATGGAGTATTTCCTGGTCAATTTCATATTTGACTTCCGGCCACCATTCTAGTCAATCAACGAGCTCAACCCATCTTGCGCCTCGCTCCTAGATCATAAAATCGTTGTAGGCGCCAGAACAAGAAATCCATGCACTCGCGTCATCTATTTCTTCCCACTCTTCTTGATTCCTTGCTGGCCGGCGTTCAGCGGCCCTTTTCCCTTTGCCTTGTCGGCCATTTCTTTCCGGGCCTTTGCATCTGCGCGAACGATTCAGCTGCTGTTCGACGAAACCCATATACAGGACGTTCGTACCTGCGGCTTGCTTGGCCTTGAATGCAACGTCCTCTTCATCCATGTCCTTCTTCTCCTTCTTGGGGGCCTTCAGTGGCTTGACTTTACCGCCTGAGAAGAAAATGTCAGGAAGCTCATCAGATCGATCGGTGCTTTGCTCGAACCTACCTTCTCTGCTTTGACCACCCATTTTTTATTGTTTCCTGTTCAATCTGCTGTGTGTAGAGGGCTTAGGAGGTTTCGAGGTTGGGTTGTGGAAGTCTGGCAGCGTCAGGAAAGAGTGGCGCGAAGTTCTGAAGCAGAATAATCGCCGCAGTCTACGAGGAAGTAACACTGCCACTAACTGCATTGCGGGCTATCACGTGATGGCTTGGCACGGTTGACTTTTGCAGGGGAGACCGTTGTGACTTCGCAGATCCGCCGGTTCCTTCGTCTGTTCTACCCTAGACGTTTTTCTCGCGTGCGTCCTGGTGCCGGTTGCGTTGCTGTAAGTGTAGATGAAGCTAGAATTGACTGAATACTGACCGGGCCTGCCAGGTCGGCAGCAACACTAGCTTCTCGCATTTTGGGGAGGTGTGGCAATGCTAGACATCTCGATACACGCCTTTCACAGAATGCCTCTCGAGCAGAAAGAATTCTCCCATCCGCCGTTACATCCCCCAATTGGGACACCCGAGAACTCAGAGACAGTGAAGCCTTGGTACACCGTCGCACCTGGAATCTGGGAACTGCATCTAAATGGTGAGAAGAATTCGGAACAGAAGGCTGTTCTGCAGTGGTACGAGCCGAGTGCAGTATCTGCCAGCGACCAGGTGATAACCCATGCTTATATCGAAGAAGTGTGCATTCTTCAGGGAGGTCTCGAGGATGTGACACTGGGGCAAACTTGGTCGACTGGTGCATATGCATATCGCAATCCAGGCATGGAGCATGGGCCATACAAAGCGTCGGCATCAGGTTGCTTGATGTTTGTTAAGGTGCTTCCTCGGAGTGGACCTATGGATTCACTGGATTGAGGCTTGAAAGTGGGGAACTGCTCTCTCGAAGGGATGACCCACTGGTGTTTGCCCTCAGTCAAGTACATCCATAATCTCTCCGCCAGCTCACTAGAGTGACTTGCATGGGTTGTAAGACGGAGTGCAGGACCTGGGACCTGAAACGATATCAACGTTTACAATAAGACGTACGTATCGCCTGGGCAAAGACGAGCAACGGTTTCCATCGTCGACGGGCTTGGGAGAAGCGGGAATTTGCTATTCTCCGAATCCCAGTGTTTCAAGTGACCAGCCCTGTGAAAATCATTTGCTTAAAATCCGCGTAAGATTTTTTGCCCTCTTTATCTCAGTATTGATGGTTGGTCCTGGTAACTATATTTTTCCGTCACTTTGAGTGGTCTCTGGTTGCCAAATCACGCTAGCAAGTGCTCCAGGCACCATATCCACATCTGTGTTAACCAAATCTCCAAAATACTTAACCACTTCTGTCGACCTTGGTAGCATTACGCAAAATTATGGTTACTGAACATTACATTAAAACCGAGGACTTGTCGAAGCACGGTACATTACATTCACCTTCCGAACAACAGTCCTGTATCATTTGAACACAGCGATCACTCCGCCATAATCGCGCATCTTTGGCCACATCAGACGTTGAGTGTATCGTGTCCCAAACAGTATCATTGAAAGCATGTGCAGACTCAAGGAGGAATCTAGCCACGCCAAAAAAGACCGATCGGTGGAGAACAGAACTAATCCTAGTATTACAAACTTTCAGCTGAGGACCTTCACTACAGGGCCCGGGATCCAACTAACATTTAAAAGCAGAGATACCCTCTAATATACCCGATTGCTACAGCATATCCCCAAACTGACTCGTTTCCAAAACACAGCTCAGATCACCGGACATGGCGGGTTACAAGCAATACGACGATTGCGGCCCCAAGTTTCGCCGGATAGGGCAAGGCTTTTGTGGATCTGTCTGGGCCGCTGAAGGTGGGACGGTAGCCATGAAGAGAGAGGACGGGGGCCCAGGCAGATCAATTCGTAACGACTACAATATGCACAAAGTTATTCTCGAGAAACATTCGCAACAGAAGGATCAAAACAGTGTGTGCGTGCCGCGGTGGCCGAGACTTGTCACGGGTGACGCCTCATGGTGGGAAGCCAACCTTTGCAGATTCCCTCAAGGCTACGTGGCCTGCAATGTGCTCTGTGCGGAACGCATCCCACCATTACCGCAGGAGGTGAGGGACCGTCTCGTGGATCGCTATTGTCCTCCAGCCGCAGCCGCGACGATCAAGAACAACGACGCAGACCGGGATTGCCTGGTTCGGCTTTACCTTGGCCGACGAAAATTCCAAAATGAGGCCAGAGGGCGAACTTTCTTTTCATTGCGGAACTATCCCATGCATTTAAACCAAGCGGAAGAACTTGGATTGAATGTTATGGACTACGCCCACGCCATGGCAGAGACGCTTGCTATGATGCACTGGGCTGCGAAGATAGATGCGAATGATGTGGAATTTGTTCTTGGGGGTACTCAGAGGACTGGGATTGGAGAGTATACGAACGATTTTTTTGGCACTCACGGCCTATGGGTATTGGACTTCGACTGCTGCAGATCGATGACAATGGACGATGCAGGCATCGAGCAAGCTGCTCGTGCCTTCCTGAAGAACGATCCCTATTTCCCTCGACCCGTCACCCGCAGTTCCTCGGACTCAGCTTTGTGGTCGGAGTTTCGAGGTCGATATCTTGAGTGCAGCCGACCTCTTCTCAGTCTACCCAGTCACCTCACTTTGCCAGAAAAGTTCCTCGCGCGGGTCGAAGGCATTCTTGAAGAGACACTGAACAGGAGATCAGCTTTGTCAAACACCGACACGCCTTCGAATTGAAGGGAAATCTCACCGCACCATTTTCCACTGCTCACTCACTGTCTACGCCTGCTGACGCCACCTCTGAAACGTATCACTTCATCTTCTCTTTCACTTCCCAGACCTTTTTCATCACCCAAACGCCTCCTCTGACCTTTCCAACTATGTCGGTATCTTCAAAAAGAGATTCCGAGGTGCCTGGCACTCTGCTTAAAGTGGCACATCAGCGACGGCAGGACACATCCGATGTTTCGCACTCAGCACGTACACCTTCCTTTGACGTCCTGGCGATGGAAACACTTCGACTCGAGGATTAGCTTACGGCAGAAGCATCCAGCGAGACGAATATACAGACGTTGAAACGATTGATGTTCACAAAATCAGCTATTTCCACGACTTCCTCATTTGCAGACCGTCAACAAAGTTCAACTGGTCAGCAAAACACCTTCCGCGAAGCAGGGACCGGTTCTGTCGGCATTGTTCTGGAGCATCCTGGCACTATCTGGGTCTACAAGTTCTGTCTCTTAGACCAAAGCGACAAATTATGGAACAACTATGTCATGGGAGTGAGAATACAGGACAGCTTTTCCCGCAATGCCTTGATTTCTGGAGAGGTGGCTATCCCACAATGTGTATGGTTTGCCACGGCAAACTCTGATTTCTGGTCAAGATACAACCAGCAAATTCCCCAATCGCGAAAACCGGGAGACGTGCTTTGTATGGAGCGCATCTTTCCCCTCCCGCAAATCATACGCAACAAGATCATAGATGTCTTCTGTCAACTTGATGAACCCGCTCGAGAACAGGCAAAGAATGTCGCAAGCAATAAAGACTGTCTGATCCGCCCATATCTTGGCCGAATGCGAATCACCAATGATCATAGTCGACTCAAATCATTTTCTCTTCGCAACTACAAGCTCCATCTCGATCAAATCCAGTACCTTGGCCTATTTGCAGATGAATACGCCACAGCAATGGCTAAATCACTGGCGGTCATGCATTGGGATATCAGAATCGACGCTGCCGATGTCGAGTTTGTGCTAGGAAGCTCACCTACTATAGAGGCAACGATTTCCGGGTCAACGAAATTCTGAGCGGTTACAAGGCCTGGCGGAAAAGAGCGACACATACCAAGAAGTTGTGATATCTAATCCAAACTTCAAGCAGCGACTGATAAGTCTCTGGCTTCTGGACTTTGACGCGTGTAAAAAGATCAGCATGGACAACAGTGGTGTCCAACAGGCGGTTAGAGCATTCTTGGAAAATGAGCCATACTATCCAAGACCAAATGGCAGTTCAAAATACAGTGTTCACCTATGGGAAGTCTTTTGTGCCGAATACCTGGCTGCCAGCGCGACAGTTCTCGCCGATGAACCCGACATTGCAGACCTACCACGTTTATTTCTGACCAGCATCACCAATGCTCTATCTGTCGGAACTCCACAACCAGATCGTGGTGGGGCAGGTCTGAGCGATTTTGCTACTCGAAATGGTGGAAGACGAGGAGGAAGGAGACAGGGTGGTGGAAGAGGACATATCCGCGAAAGCGCCGAGTTCGAAAGCGAGCAGTTCTATAGCAGTACACGTTCAAGACGCGTTTGGCGAGATAGACAACCATGAATAGAAGAAACACTTATCACTTTGGATCTATGGTCATTATTTCAGGAAGAGCCCTCTAAGTCGAGAAAGGTCGAGAACGAAGCCAAAGGGCACGTAGTGCTTGGACTGTCGAGGAGGATAGGCAGTACGGGCGAATTCTCATCAGGAACAGGTGGGCGTAGCAACAAATCTTGCGATTGACCTGTGATCCTTCCTACCCTTGTAGAACGAACGATCTATCAGGAGCTCTTGCGCTTGTTGACGATGCTCTTGTGAAAGAACGTGTAAAAGTGTATTGGAACTAGCTAGATCTATCGACTGCCTGGGCCGCTTTTATATTCACAATTACTAGCGCCTTGGCTGTATTTCACACTCTTGATGTAGTGAGTTGCGGTGGATCGGTGGTGGAAGGTTGCCACTCGCTGCCAAGGACTTGAATCCCCCGGCGTTGTTTGGCGGCGAGGCGGCAATAGCAACTTGCGCCGGGTTTCAAGTGCTTGTAGGGTTCTTTGAAGTATGATGACTAGTGCTTTCGGTCACTTCTACACCTCCTGCTACAACGTCACTTCATCGTTCTCGGGCTTCGCACCTCGATCGTCATCTTGCGGTTCGGTCAAGTTGATTCACCAATATCTTTTCTGCTCAGTGGAATGCTTTCGAAAGCGATTTGAGAAGGACTTTTGTGGGACGACACCGGTCGGGCTCTACAACTGCAAATTTTCCCATACCAGAATCTGCTGGCTAACGCTCTTATCACAACTAAAGGCTAGGTCTCGTTCCCGGCCTGCAAGTCGACCACTCCACCATGGGTTCAAGATCACCCAGCCAGTCTGAGGGCGAAATCTTGACGTCAGACTCGGACGCGAAGGCAAAGAATATACCATCTTTCCGCAATAACAGCAAGATTGACCGTCGTGCCAGACCATCTTCCATTCCCTACAGCGCAACGTCTAGATCGCATCGATCACGTTCGAGATCGCCTTACCGTGCTTCGAGGGGCGAGAAGCGCCCCCGCGACTATGACCATGCGAGAAACAGATCCCATAATGATACGCGCTCCTTCGCTGTGAGGTACGAGGATGATGCCTTCCGTCATCGACGCTACGAATCCTACGAACGACTCTCAAAGCGGTCGCGAACCTCTCGAAGTCGCAGCAGGAGCCGGTCTCCATATAGGCACTCTCGTCGTAGAGAGGAAGGAATGGATGGCTCTACAAATACGCGAGATCCAGGTGGCAGGTTTGAGTCCAACTCCAGACATGCGGATGATCAGCCGGAAAAGGATGCGACCACGAGAACTTCACAATCCACACCCTCGCATGACCTTCCGTCAGAGTCAGACGACGTCACCTCTAACTTGGTGCCTGCGCCAGGATCTGAAGCTACTGGACATAGACAGGACAGGAATCACACCGAAACCCATACGGCCATACCCGCTGGTGCCACCACCGTTGAGATCGAAGAGCCCAGAATTATAGATGAGGCTGCTCTGATCGAAGAACGGCGCAAACGTCGTGAAGCTATAAAGAACAAATATCGTGGTCAAGCTCCACCGCTATTGGTTCAGGCACTTCATCTTGGGGCTGAGTCGACGCCGGCAAGTCCTGCTCCGGAAAGCTATACTACAACGCCACGCCGATCCGGTATGTTCCCTGTTACCGTCCGTCCCGGTTCCATACTAATTTCACTAGAATCCCCTGGCTCGTCCTCACCTCGTACGCCAAGAGATCTGTCTGCTCCTCAGTCTCCAGCGGAGATCAAGTTCGATAATGATGCAGATCTGACTAACACTGATAGAAGATCTCCGGTCGAAGACGGCCCTTCAGCTGCCGACTATGACCCTACCGTGGACATGGAAGAGGAACGAGCGCGACATGAAAAACGTCTCTTCAAGGAAGACGAGAAATCTCTCGAGCAAGCAGACCAAGCAGTAACCGGAGCTGACGACAAGGCTGCCCCTCCCCCTCCCAAGGCGACTGGTGAGTTTGACATGTTTGCCGATGAGGATGAAGACGATATGTTTGCCGAAGCTCCTATGAAGCCCAAAGTAGAGATTAAGACTGCGCAAGCCCTGGATGTCAACCTCATGGACAATTGGGATGATCCCGAAGGGTATTACATAACAATCCTTGGTGAGCTGATCGAGGACCGTTACCATGTCACACAAAATCTGGGAAGAGGGATGTTCTCCTCTGTCGTTCGAGCGACTGATAGACGAACCGGCAAAGCGGTCGCGATCAAAATTGTTCGGAACAACGAAACCATGCGAAAAGCCGGAATCAAAGAAATTGACATTCTGAAAGACATTGCTGCCAATGACCCAGAAGACAAGAAGCACATCATTCGTCTTCAACGATCGTTTGATCATAAAGGTCATCTTTGTATGGTTTTTGAAAACCTCTCCATGAACCTGCGGGAAGTGCTCAAAAAATTCGGCAGGGATGTGGGCATCAATCTCAAGGCTATCCGAGCATACGCACAGCAACTCTTTTGGGGACTGAGCTTGCTGAAGAAATGTCAATACATACACGCTGATTTGAAACCAGACAACATCCTTGTCAACGAAGCCAGGAGTACGCTGAAGATCTGCGACTTGGGATCTGCGTCTCCCATCACCGAGAATGCCACTGCGCCATATCTAGTGTCTCGTTTCTATCGGGCTCCTGAAGTCATCCTGGGCATCCCTTATGACTATGGTATTGATATGTGGTCAGTTGGGTGTACCCTTTTCGAACTGTACACGGGAAAGATCTTGTTTACAGGCCGCAACAACAACGGCATGCTTCGCGCGATTATGGAGTGTCGTGGGAAATTTCCGCACAAGCTTCTCAGGCGTGGAACTCTGACGTATGAATACTTTGACGATCTCCTCAATTTTCGAGCTCAAGAGACAGATAAAGTTACAGGTCGGACGATAATCAAAGTGATGGACATCAAGCCAAAACCAGTCAGAGATTTGAGATCTCGGTTGGTTCCGAAGGACAAGCGCATGAACGAACAGGAGCGCAAAGAGCTGGATCTGTTTGTGGATCTGCTGGATAGGTGTTTGGATTTGCGGCCGGAGAAGCGCATCACGCCCAACGATGCGTTGAAGCATCCTTTCATCTCGAGGGTAAAGCCATGAGTGGGATAGATACGGAATATCTGGGCAGAGCATGCGTACGACAATTACCCCTAATAGAACTATCAAGCGAATTCTAGCTTCAGTGCATTCCTCTTTTCTTTTGACCCTTTACTCTTCACCATGATCGCTAACACGAAGAGGCCGCACAGTATATCCGTCGTGGTATGCAGCTTGGTATACATGCCATGTGTGTGACCTCCCTGGCACCCCGCCAAAACAAACATACCGCACTATGACAAGCAAGCCCAGTGACAAAGAGACAGGTGCACATTGTTGGCTTGGCGTGCCATACACGAGGTATTCATGTCATCTTCACATTTTATGGATCAAAACGAGAAACGAGCCTGCAGTATCAAGGATTGGACCCAAGATTTTCCCTCTCACTCACTCTTCTACTCCCTCTTCTCTCTTCCATCGACCTCCGATACAAATGGCAAAAAACTCAGATTTGTGAGAAAACCCTCTCGGGTTTTTTTGCTTCTCATTCGGTTGGCTCAATGTTGCTGCTCCCACCCCCTAACACTTCAAGTTCTCACAGGACCCCTACACAACCCAGGCTACTAGATCCTGTACACGGCAATCGCTGGCTATGCATTAGGGGATACAGAGTAGAGCCCCTACTCAGCCAATACGCCGGTACAGTCACTTGGCAACCTGGATTGTCGAGAAGACCTGATCAACCAAGAAGGTTAGGGAGATGTTTGCCATATCGCACGGTCGAACGTTGGAAGGTCTTTGGATGTTGTAATATGTATGTATCCACGACTGGGAGGAGTGGGTATCAGGAACGTCCTGGACGTGTTTTGAGGGCCGCTTGGCGAGTGAAGATGTTGTTGCTGGTGGTTGTCACAGCCAAGGATGTACAGTAGAACGTGCAAGGCTGGACGAGGCTGAGGATTGTTTTGAACGCGTTTACCAAAAGGCAAGTTTAGCGAGGTGTTTTCCACAGCTCGCGACATCGCGTTCCAACCTTTCATCATTCTCAGAGCTATGAACTGTTCCTTTGCCTACAATAACTTTCTGCCATTCCACAGTCTTGCACCTCAGTCAAATCCCCCGCTACAAACTCGTTGCGTCCCTGATTCCCTCCTTTACAGAGCCTGAGCAGCATCGCGACCAGCAATCCGGCCAAAAGTGAGCGAGCGGAGAACACTCGTTGCGGGCGGATCTGTTACTGTGTTTAGCGTCCATCGAACTGTCAACCCGATCACAGTGATTGCAGGATTTCTATGCGTGGATTCTACAGATCGGGGTCCACGGTGAAGGCGCATTGGAGAACTTACACTGGATCTCTGGATCAGCATCAAGGCTTTGACGTCGAAAGAATGGACTCACCTCGTTGTAGAACAAGCCGCTCAATTCCCCAGCACAGTACAGGCCTGTAGTCGGTCAGCCAGGAAAGTCAATGCTGGGCTCTGTCTCTTACCTGGAATTGGAACCCCAGTCGTCGAAAGCACCCTCGAGTCAAGGTCACACTTGAGTCCACCATAGGTGAAGGTAAGTTGTGCTAATACTTATCAGCAAAGACCCAGCATCGCCCGTCATGATCGATGCTACCTTTCATTGGATATCTGAGAATCGTCAGCTTTTGCCTCACCCCGTCTGTTTGCAGAGAGATCACTCACCCGTAGTAAGGGGGTTTGGTGATAGGGTTGGCCCAGTTGGTCTTGTCGGGATTGAGACTTGCGAAAGTGTCAGGTATCACAATCTTTACAATATTCGTCATGTTCATACCCGTGTGTCCTCTTACCATCAAGTGCCATCAGGTTGAACTCCTTGTCGTTGATGCTGCATCAGGGTTAGCGACATCTGATAATTTGCCTGTCTCGAAGACTTACGCCGCGTTATACTCATCCACTGTCTTTTTCAGCTCTTTCGGATCCAGTCCGAGCTTTTCGGCCAACCCTTCGATGGTTTCACTTTTCTCGGGCTCTTGGTCAGTGGTGTCATAGACCCAGCCTGGGCGGAAGCGGTCCATGATCGGACTGTCAGTGATGCTGAGATCCTGTCAGTAAACAGTTGCCATGTAGCTGAGATGGGCCTACAAGTATGATTTCTGGTTATGGTCTGCCCCGTGTTAGCAGTTGCTCAACCCTGAGCTTCCATGACTTACCTCTCCAGGTCTCAAGGGCAATCATCTCGAACGTCGCAAAGAGGCTGTCCACGTCAGCGGCTGTTTCCACCCGGGAATATCGGGAGTCTCACTGTCGTTTGCCTTCGTCATAGAAACGCTTGCAGTTCCTGTGTCACTCAGCGACAGTCGAACATAGCCTGAAAGGAGACAATCGTACTCGTTCACAACGATACCATAATTGTGGCCCCAGATCACAGCATCGGGCTTCTTGGCTCGGGTGTCGACCAATTCGCACTTTCAGCCAGGGTCAGTATGGACTGCGCTGAGAAATGGCACATATGAGGACTGCGCTTACGTGCATGCCGCTCATGGAACCTGCAACAGCAGCACCAACTTCCAACCCCATCCTCAAACCGAAGCCGGTGTTGTACTTGAGGCCCGGTGCGATAAGCTCGAGGTGTTCTGTTCTCGGTCCGACATATTTGGCTAACCTAGTCCTCGTTGGCCAATGTTTCTCTTAGAAGGTCTCTGTGCCCTACATTTCACGGTTTCCCTCGAACCCGCCGCAAGCCAACATGACTTTCTTACCGTGGACTTTTGTCATGTGTCCATCAGCCTTTCGAACTTTGACGCCGCAAACAGACCCGTCATCGTGGGTCAGCAACTGTTCTGCTTGCGTCTCCCACATGATTGTAACACCATCGAACTTGCGGATATGGTCGAAGAGGGCATTGATAATTGCATGACCACCACCCTAAAACCTGCATTCAGAGCACGTTCACAGACTCAACTTGTGACGCAGCTTACCTCGGGGAACACGAAGTGTTGATCTAACAGATTGTCAATATGGGGACGGACATTTGATATCTGCTCACCGACGTACTGGTATTGAACTCCAGGAGCACATTCTTCTCGTCATGATGGTTGAGTTTTACCCCATCTGGAATCTGTCAGTCTCTCGCACTACCAGTCCAGGGTTGATCAACTAACGGTCAAGCAGATACTGGGCAGTCACGGGGACTTCTTTCTCCATTTTTGCGCAATATTCCAGGTCTGCCAATCCCTCGCTGGATGTTGTTAGTATCAGAGCCTTGCTGGTCACATCGGAAACGAACCTGACACGCTACAATCGTCAGCGAGAACCTTCATCGCTGGGACATGGCACCTACCTTCATTTCATGCTTCCAGTCCGAGTCAAAGTTGTTGTCTGCGACAGTTAGCACGCATGAAGGCACGTTGCTCCTGACCGCTTGGCTCAAACCTTTGTCCAATCTCAGGTATGCCATTGTCCATCTAGAGACCATTCAGTCCATGGTTGACAATTTGATAGGTGACCATTTAGCAGACCTGCTTGCACCACATCGTTCTCCTTCTTTACCCGCTTCGATCAATGCAACTCTACCCCTTTTCCCGAGCTTTTTGCATTCCTCGAGAAAGTTCAATGTGGTCATAGAACCCTACATAGAGGTCAGCACCATTTACCCTGGAAGGATACTCCGGCTACTCACGGCAAATCCACTTCCAACTACGACGAGGTCATACTCATGGTGGGAGCCCGTAAGGCTGCTTACAACCTGACTGACGACCGACATGATGCGTTTGGCAAGATTTGTGCTGGAGGAAGGGGATGCTGGCAAGTTCTCTTTATCTAGGTTCGAGCTGGGATGCTCAGCAAGGTGCGAATTCGCACATGCAATCCTACCCCTTTTAAATCATTCCACCACCGACGCGTACCCCTCAACCCTTGCGGATTATCCTGCAAAACTGAGACCACCCCGCAAGCAAAGACGAATCGCGGATGACAGCACAAGAGAGCCGGCAGATTCTCGTACGTAGGCCTTCCCCGCAGAACAGCAACCGGTCACCGGCAATGACGCTGCTCACACCCAGCATTTATTCAAGTTCGCAGAGCCAGAACAATCCAAACAGCTTTGACAAACCTACATATACCCGCTTTCGGGCAAGGCCCCTTCTCGTCTGTGGATGCTGAGCTCGGCTTCCCCTCAACAAGCTGAAGCCAAGGGTCGGTATAACGTCATCTGCCCATCTCCGAGATCAGAGCATTCTGGCCCCTCTCGGAAACAAGGATCTCGACATTTGTGAGAGGTCTCGAAAGTGCTCATACGCTGGAAACTCGTATCCCGAGTCTGGTGGGTGACTGCTATTGACGGTTTACGTGACAAATGACTTTCGGTTATGGTTGTCTAAAATGCAGGCCAAGGCCAATCACGGCTCTGGAGGCTGTCTACGACGACTCGAAAGTGATTCAAGGTTTGCAGCCTGTTTCGAGATTTGCACATCGTCCTCAAGCGGAACCGCAAACTCGTCAGGATCCTCTCGGCGATTCTTCAACTTTTGCCTCTGTAGCAACAGGGACACGGATGTATGATTCGTCATTCTCAGGTGGAAGCCGAGCTACAGCAGCCTCCTTGGTTGTGGAGTGACAGCTGTTTGAGACTGTATGTCCAGGCCCCGGCCCAGAGGTCGACAGACGGCATCATTTGTGATCGTCGAGAATTAAGCTACCGGTTTCCATCCTGAAGTCCGACATAGCGAGAAGATGTCGAGTTGTTGTTCCCTGTTCGTCACCATCGGTGGACCTGTTTCCGCCTTGAACTCTTTGACTGGCGCGTGGACCTCGCTGAGTAAATGGATCGTTGCAGACCGTCTTGCGAGTTATGCAGGACGTTATCCTGAATGTGCCCGTCTTCACGAATGCATTTCCGCACTTGTCTCTGCGCGCCATCCTCTCGCCTCCACATGTCCAGCTGCCAACCTAGACTGCCTGAGCTACCCAGAGAACGACCAGAGGGCTGCCCAATGCCAAGTTCCATTTCCCCGATACTTGGCACTGAGGCCGCAAGTGAGTCGAAGACGTTGTGATCAGGCTGGCACAGGAGGTCAGGTTGTCAACCTGTGCCACCAAGCTTTGAACGGAGTTTGAGCCAGAGACATGGGTCTTGGAGCTCTCCACACTGGATATGACCGCGTATTATTATTGCAACCCCGCCTCTGTACCCGCTTCGCTGCCCATTACCGAATCTGGGTGTTTGGGAGGTATTCTCCCCGCATCACAGCGATTGGAAAGGGGAAGAAGGACCGGGCACCCAGGCAAGCCAGGGTTCAGAATTATGAAATGCAATCCCCAACCGAATGTTTCACATTCCGCATCTCCGACGAAAGATCACTTGAGGACCTTAACAGCAAGCAACCAAGCAACAAACTAACCCCAGAGATTCCGACGAGAAGATGGAAGGAGAGTGCCTCTGCAAAGGTATGTGCGTCACTGGTGGCTTGCCATGGCACGTGCTGGGGACATATTTGGCGCGGGGGTTGTTATATGCATGGCTCGCTGATACTTTGCTGCCCAGCTGTCGCCGTCAAGGTCAACGACGACAACCTCTTTGGCGAACAGCGCCGGGGTCACTTTTGTCACTGCGCCAATTGTCGCAAGGTTGCTGGTGGCATGTGAGTGGTCGATCCCCAGGTTCTACCTGACCCTACGTCATGAACTAGCCATGTCTCTTTATGATATGGATGTGCCTAACACCAACTCGAGGAGATGTACCACGTTACTGACCGAGTCCTGGGGTTATGGGATCAACAGCTTCGGCGCCAACCTGACCATCGAGGAAGAAAAGGTCGAGTTCCCCAAGGGCAAAGGCAATCTCAAGATGTACACTGTTCGTCGTCGTCGTCCTCCCCCACCACCACCACCACCACGATCTTTATGTACCATCCCCGCTCTCCAGATGTCTTGTTGTTCACTCTGCTTCTAACAGGGACAATTTCCCCTTGACGACAGGATCCGGACACACTCAGCGGGACCCCGTTGCAACGGTAAGGGTTTCGATAGCCAAGCATTTTCAGGGAGGCTGGGGAGGACAAGAATCCCAGAAAAAAAAAAAAGTCCTGGGCAGACAGAACTAACGCCCCACCGTCCTTTGTGGAAAATAGGTATTTCTGCCAGACGTGCGGCGTGCCCATCATGAGTGTCACGCCGCTGTACAAGGGCAAGGTGGTTCTGAAATTAGGACTGGTAAGTGTCGAGTGCGGGATACTCGCTTTTTCACATTTTGCCGCTCCCTCTCCACAAGCGCTGACCTGATACGTGTGTGTGCGCGTGTGCGTGCGCAGTACCCCAAACTCCCCGTCCCGGAATGGGAATCATTCGCCTCTCAGCGGCAGAGCTGGGAGAAGCCGCTCGAGGGCGCCGTCCAATACAAGACCAAGGTACGTACGTATTCTTTACATTAGAAATTCCTTCTTCATCTAGTATATATACAGTGTGATCACACGAGTGTGATTTACTGCATTGGATTTGCATTGGAATTGGATGAGTTTGAGATGATTTCTAACCATGTGTGTGTGTGTGTGTTTGTGTGAATCTCTAGAGCTTTGGAGAAAAGATGCCCGGGTCGATTTAAATATCCTATCGTCAACCGTCGAGACTGGGACACCCACATCCCTTTTTTGCGCGCGGTGGAGAGGGAGGATGTTTCTTGGTTGCGTATGAGAAGGACGAGAAGAATTCCCTGGGGGCCTCCGTTTCACGCATCACACATCACACATCAAACTCGACTCGACTCGAGTAGTTCAGACTGGTCATGCATCGCAAGGCAACGCAAGGCAAATAACGCAAGGAAAGGAGCGACACGAGGCAAAAACAATAGAGAGAGGCGCTTTCTCGAGCCCTTCAAAACATATATATCTCTCTCCTCATTCCCTTGGTCATGCATGAATCATCCATTCACTCACTCACTCGTCAACTCTCACACTCCCTTACCCATTCGTATTCCCTTATCCCCCGTTCTGATTCCCAAGCCCAAGACCAAGACACGCACTCTCGGCCCCAACATACGTCCACCGAAGCGCCTCCTCTTTCAGAGGTTCCGCGCCTGCACTGGAAACCTCGACAACAACCTCCTCACCCGGCACGAGGTCGAAGCCATTGTCGCTAAAGGTTGGGCCGTCGCGGGATTCGCGGAACACGAAGCCGTGGACGGGGCGGGAGGCCGTGATGGTGATGGTCGCGGTGGCGATTGTCTTGGTCGTGCTGGTGCTGGTGCTGCATGAGGATGGATTGGTGGTGATGCTGACAACGACGTCTCGCGGCGTGGTTGTGAAATCGAGGTATTTGATCGGGTGGGACCAGGCGGTGTCGGTGCTCACGACGCGGTTGTCCACGAGGAGCGACGCGTGGATGATGTACGGGTGCCATGTATTCGTGTCGAAGGGCGGGGAGGACGAAGCTTCGGTGGTTGTTGTTAACCGGGTAGAATCACCAGGACCAGCAGTATCACTGGACAAGTTTCTCCCCTGAAGGATATCGGTCGTGCTATTCGCCTTGACCACAACGCCGCGCTTCACGATCGGTTCGACCACGTCCCGCCCCGTCCTGATGGAAATGGCCCGCACGACCACGTCCGCGGTGACATCCTCGCTGCGCGAACTGCACACCCACACGTCACATGTCCCGTCCGTGGCTGCGCGCGTCGGATCCACATGTCCCGACGTCCACTCGTGGAACGGCCTGCTCACGCCCACGGCCAGCGGCGTCAGGGAGCGCTTGATGGCGTAGAAGGCGGGCTTTTTCACGCGAAAGTAGTCGACCACCGCCCACGACATGGTCGGCCAGGTATCGTTGAACTGCCACACGAGGACGCCGCCGCACTTTCTCAGTTTCTCTGCATTCGAGGACGACGAGACCCCCCACTCGCGACGCCAGGAGCGGTACGCGAACCCCACGGCGTCCGACTGCATGACCTGCGTCAGGTGTGTGAACGCCCCCAAGTCATAGTTGATCCGGAAGTTCTCTGCCACATACGTCAGGAGGCGGCGTTCGTGGTCGATCGCCCGGTTGTGGTAGTCCATGGTCATGCTGCCGGGGTACTGTTGCTGGGGATGCGTGGCGATGGCCGAGACGATGGTCGACATGTGCGGGTAGGCTTCCATGCCGAATTCGCTCACGAAGCGCCCGCCCATGCTGGGGAGTTCTTGATATCGGCGCATGGAGCCATGCCAGACTAAACAAAGATCAGATGACGATGGATGGAATGGCAATGAGCGTTTTTTAATCTTTTTGGATGAAGGGGCAAAAAGAATACAAGATGGAGTTATTGCGTCCCGACGAGTCGGTAGAATTAGAGGCCTGCCTTCTTGGATGGGAGATAAAAAAGGATCGACTGACCATTCCACTGATGAATGTCTCCCACGGTCGGGTCCCACGTCTTCTTCCCGTCGCCCCACGGACTGCTCGGGTGATACACCGCGCCTGGACTCTCCTCCTGCACGATCTTTGGCAGGAGATACTCGTAGATGTACCGCGCGGGGAAACTGGTCTTGAGCCATGACTGCGGGTCCTTGTCGCCGTCATAGTCGTATTCCAGGTTGTGCTTCTCCTGGACCTGGTAGTCTTCGTTATTCCCGGCCCAGATGGCCAGCGACGGGTGCGAGCGGAGCCGTCGGACGTTGAAGCGCGCTTCCTCTTCGACTTGGGCGAGGAAGGACGGGTAGGTCGGGTAGCTGGCGCAGGCGAAGCAAAAGTCTTGCCAGACGAGAATGCCCAGCGTGTCGCAGGCCTCGTAGAACGAGTCGTCTTCGTAGATTCCGCCGCCCCAGATCCTGGGACGTGTTCATTAGGTTAGAAGTAACTCGGGCAAATGCAGTATGAGCAGATCAAGGCAAGTCACAGAGAGAAACAAATGGTTGGGCATCGGAAACCAGAACTGGGTCAGCCATCGAATATACCTGGTCATGATCTGGTTACCCTCGATCATCAGCTCCATCCACTTCTTATACCCGTCCGCACCGATTCTCGGGAGGAAGCAATCCGTTGGAATCCAGCAGGACCCGCCCGCGAAGACGTCGACGTTATTGATGCGGAAATAGAACGACTTGCCAAACTCGTCCGGTTCCTGGATGAGTTGACAGCGTCGAAAGCCGATCGATCTGGATTTGGAGACAAGACCGCCCTCCTGTGTGGATATCATCGCTCGGAGCTCGTAGAGCCACTGTTTTCCATAACCACGAGGGTACCAGAGAGCCGGGTCTTCGAGACGAAACTCTGCCGTGGCAATGCCATCCTTGTCAACGTGCGTGTCTACCTCATACACGGCCTTGTTGTCGCGATATACCGACAGCTTGACGACGCTGTCTTCTCCCATGTTCCCTTTGCCGCTACCTACACTGGCGAACAACTTCCCCTTCACCACCTTCAGATCCTCACTCACCTCTCCCTGAAACCAGACGTCGTCGATTCTAACAAGATATGTTTCCAGAGAAACGCGCTTCCACGGCCCGGAAGTGATCAGGATAGGACCCCAGTCCCATCCCCAATGACACTGTGCTTTGCGCACAGGGAGCCTGCTCGACTCTGTCTGATGAGCGATGAAATCGTGTTCATGTGCGTGCTGTTTGACGAGCTCGCGGCCACGGAGGAGAGCCGATTCAAAGACAATTTCCAAGACATTTGGGTCAGTGGGATCGTCTTCGGAAGAAGGCTGTAAGAGAAAAGGTGTCACGTCGACGCGGTATCCGATGAACATGTTGTCGGCCTCGAGGATTTTGTGGCCATTGAGAGATACCGTGGCAAAGGTGTCGAGGCCTGCGAACACCAAGTCCGTCCTTGCATCGGGCTGTCTATCTGTCGGGGTGCTAAAACTTGTCTTGTAGGTCCAGGACTTCTCTGCGACCCATCGTACAGCCAGTTCATTCATGTCGATAAAGGGGTCCGGAATCCTAGGGGAGAGTTGTGAGTTTGAGAAATATTGGCTTCGTGCCCGATGATCTTCAGACGTACTTCCCATTTTCTTGGAGAACGAGATGCGTTGTGGTTGGAACCTTCGATACCGGGAGCCATGCGTTCTCAGAGGTATCATCAGACTGTCTGCACTGCCAACCCGAGTGCAGTTCGGTGATGACGGTGGCCATTGTATTTTAGGGACAACAAAGTGTCGCGTCGTGCAGAGAGACCGAACTTGGCGCTGTCAGGAGGCGACGTTTTCTATCCAAAGTACCTACCCAGACCTATCCTCAGTCTGCCCTGGAAGGCTCCGAGGACAGCAATGAAGTCTGCGAAATCTCCATTTGCTGAGCTGGGACTCGTGCAATGGCCATCGCACACGTTGCGCCCAACAGACAAAGCCTATGTGGTCCATGCGGGGATCCTTCATCTTTGCCGATCCTGCCGCAATGTTTCCCTCGAATCCTACCTTGCGGGCAACAGCTCGTGTCCAATGTAACGGGATCCTGTCGACATGGCCGGAGACCTATGGTTGGTTGGTGGCTTATGAGCGTGGTCCTGAGCCTCGCTGCTTCAACCTGAGATGCTCCTACACGTGACTGAGCGCACCCGCCTATAATTGCCAATTCATCGTCCTCTGCCCTAGCCTACAGTACCCATAACTTGGCACCCAATTTAAGTTGACGTAATAATGGTCACAAAAGTTCCCTTTTCTCTAAATTGGTTAGTTAGAGCCTTTCCATTACTGACAGTCTTGCGAATGTTTGACCCGTTCAACGGGGGGAGCGGGGAAGGGGATTCAGCTGCCCTTCTTCCACACCGCTAAACCGTACCAGACACACATGGTGCAAATCTTGAAGCGACCTCTTGCATTTTTCGAAAATGATATTATTATAGCCCACACGGCGGATCACTCTCGCGCAGAGTATCCCCCCCCTTGATGTCTAGCGCTATCCCACAATGCGCGTCTAGCCAACGGGATGTGTGCATGGCGATGCTGAAAAGTTCGAACGAGGCCTGGAGCCCGGCGGCGGCCTTTATCCCCAACCGTGTGGCTCAGCTGAGGTGCTGCAAAGCGCCTTTTTCCTTGCCTGTTTAGGGTTGTCGTGGCGCGTCGGGGAAATGTATCGCAGCCTCGCCCACGGACGTTGAGGTGGACCTACACCGTCCTGCTTCAACATAATGCCAGGTGGGCTATGCACGGGTCCATCTCCTCTCAATGCAGACCCACAGACACCTCATTGGGAAGAATAGCTGGACACAAACACCATATCTATTGCAATTGGGCTCCAAACTTGTCCTTTGCGCAGCCGTGCTCCACCACCACTCTTGTCTCACCCTTTCCTATTCTGGCTCCTCTACCTGGACATCGTCACCTAGCCTGGAAAACGACAGCAGGGACTACAGCGAGGTGGGACGCTAAGTCTAGAGGAGGCAGGATGAGGCAGATTGTCTTCCAGGACTGCTGCGTCCGACAGTCAGCAAATCAGAATTGGCGCTCTGGTGACAGGATCTTTGAGTTTTTGCCCAAATTCAGTCGAATGCGCAAAATTGGCAGGGCTCGATCAGATGCCAGATACCGCACACGTAATGCTCGGGCACTGATACGATGCGAAGCTGGGCGTTTTGGTGCATTGGCTGACTGTCGTGTTATAGTGGCTGGCTGATTGAGATGCACTGCTGTGGCCTGGAACGTGGAGATTTGTCAAACACGGTACATTTATCGCCCGTGGTTCCCTCATAGTCTTGTTGAACTTGGTCGTCAAAGCTCGACTTCTGCTCTTCTTCTTCTTCTTCCCTCTGAAGCGATTCATTGAAAGCTTCTTCACTGTTTATTGACCATCCCCCCTCGTTTCATGATGGCACAGCAGACCATATACACAAACGCCTTTTTCCTCCGGGAGTGGAAAGTCTCGGGACTCTGGAACTCAATTCTGAGGGAAGCCATGGAAGCCAACAAGACACACAATCCTAACAATGGACCTTGGCAAATTTCTCCAGAAGCCTATCCGAATGATTTCGACACTCAGTCGAACCGCTCTGACCTCCTGGTGTCGCGGCTGCGCCAAAATGGGAACCAATGCGACACGGTAGATCATCCGTTGATCTACTTCGAGGCAAAACGAGGTTCGCCCAACAACTACACGTCGAACGCGCGGTGGAGGGCGGTGCGAATGCAGATTGAAGCATGGTGCGATCTCGCAGACGGTGTCGAGAAGGGTCGTCCCTGCTGGGCCATCGGAGCCATTGGCAAGGAAGTCAAATTCTGGATTTTCACCGGCTCCATTTTGTACAACGGTTCGAATAGCAAGATGGTCCCCGTCTGGTGCGACAACAATCAGGTGGTTGTCGGTTGGTCGCAGCCTCATTGGCAGAATGGAGACAATGCGGACGACAGGGCGCCCTACGAATATCACGAAGGGTCGGTGCCCATCATCATCGACCACATGCTCAGTCACCCCTGGGCAGAGAACCTCCAGCACCCTTCGGGTCAAGGCCAGGATGCGTGGTGATCATGTCAACTAGTTGTATATGGTCTACGTTGTCGTACATCCTTCAAATAGGGGGGGGGGGGGGGGGGGGGGGGGGGGGGGGGGATAAGGAACCACTCTCATTTCATGGCCGGCTGAGTAGTGAACTTGTAGGGACCAAGCTCCGACAGCCTCAGCAAAATACTGCGGGACAATTCTGCTGGAGTTACCGTCACCCATACTGCCACCGTGTCTACCCTCGATGGAATGGAGTCTTTGTTGTGTTTGCTGTTCTGTCAAGATTGTTGGGCGGCTTCGAGCCCTTGGAGGTCTGGCCCTCTATCTTTGGTCAGCCATGAGCGTGAAATGAAGCGCAGAACAGCCTCATCATACTACTTTGTTCCAGCCAGCCAGCCGGACAGCCACCACATAGGTTGCTCTCCGCCAATCACCATGCCCGTCCTGGGGCTCTCCAGCCAGCCACCAGACGGAAGCTTAAGCACTTGAGTTGTCGCGTCTCCATGGAATAACCAATCAAAGATACAGCTCCTCGTGCTAGTGACCGGGGGAAAGCGGGGAGAATGTGTGGCATCCGCACAGGCTCTAGAAAGGGCGAAACCTTGAAACGGCTGCGTCGTTTGAAAAAGGGAGCTAAATTATGGACGTTGGAAGGTAGCACAGAAAAGGCTCAAGTTGGGAGGTCCCTCAGCACGTAATTACACGAGAAGAAACAACGTTGGGATAGTGCACTGTTGCCCACTTGTAGGCATGCTTTAACAAATAGAAAGTGTGTAAAGAGCTGACGATGCAGCTGCCGTCTGTCCCCACGGCCGCGACGACAACAATGCCTAAAATCTTCAGGTCGGAGCCCGTGTCTTCGGCGTGCGAATCAGGTCGGCATCATACGTAGGCCCTGGCGTGGCATTGAACAGGGGGCATGGCGGTTGCCTTGGCGCCATAGTCCACAGAGGTATGAGACTTGTGCAGTTACGGCACGGGTAACGGTACCTGATGGAAATGTACGTCAGAAAATGTAGCACGACTTTGACAGGCTCCATCCAGGGCGCGGGTTGACTTACGGGCTGCGATTTGTGGTGCCGGGCGCAATGTCAAGCTGAGCGGAATTGAAATGCGCTTCAAGCTGCAGTGACGCACCAACCTCCCTGTTCTCGATCGCGAAGCCACGAATCCGTGCCATCTCGATACCTGGAAAATAGTTGGGCAGCACCACCCCGAAAGGATATGTCTCGGCGCACCTTCCAAAGGGGGTCCAACGCAACTCTGATGGGCCATAGAATCTTCGATCGTTGAAGAAGGCAGTCAGCCTGGTGACTGCAGCAGTGCCGAAAGCTGTCCAAATGGTAGCCATTTGAGTCTGAATCAAAGGTTGTACTGACGCAGGCACTATGGTGATCTCCGGGAGGACCAAACTTGGCCGAGTTGGAGGGATCCCAGGTGGAAACATGTGTGGTACCAGGAAATGGTGTAAGAAGTCCTGCAGGCTCTGCAAGAATGCCGGCGATGCTGGGTTGAAAGTTGATGACCACCTCTGTTGAACCAAATTCGAAGCTAGTGTCAACAGGGTTGACCGGGTAGGCGTCGCGCTCAAAACATTTCCAGCACGAAGGGGCACGCACACCCCACTTCCTTGAGCTGCGTAGGCCGCGACAAAGGCACCCGAGATCGTCGTAAACATCAGGTTCGACGTGTCGGCCGGGATTAGCGCGGTGCGGTGTCGAAGTCCTCGTCCGACAAAGTCTTTGTACAATTCCTCTGCCAGTGCAGGCAATGCGATAGGCTCCACGGGAAGATGATCAGGCAAGGGCGGATGATTGTTGGCCAGAGCTGCTTCCAGCAACTGTAGCCGCCGCCACCCATCAATCATTGGCTCACGGGCCGCACGAGACACCATCTGTTGTTCCCGCCACGTTATTAGCGTTCCTTGAACTGAAACGCAGACGAAAGGTCTTGACAGAACGCTCTTTCCGGGACAAAGGGGCAACAAGAACGACAAGAATTAGGCGAGAACAGACTCACTCCACTACCGACGCTCGAGCTGAGGGCCCAGGTACTGCCGAGCATGTAAGAAGGGTGCGGCGCAGATGCAGCATCATACATGATACAACTCATGAAGGGCACATCTGAAATCTGATGTACCGGCCCGGTCCCTCCAGTTGGCGAAGGCGATACATATGCCAGGTACAAAAACCTGCTGAAGAAGACAAGCAATGGTAGGAAATAAGTGTCCCACTGGGGGTTTGCAATAGTGGGCTGCACGACGCTGAAGACGTAGGCCAGTGCTGACGGCCCGTCAATGATCTGGAGGGCGAGGTCCTGAGGACCAAGGTGGACCGTCCTCGGCTGTGCTGTACGAGAGCCGTCCGGATTAGGGGTATCAAGGACACGGACTGGTTCTGCGCGGCCTTCGGGGGTACCGTGCCTGCTCGACGTTAGTCTCTTGATCAGAGCAGAGAAGCCAGGCAGGCATCTCAAAATATAGCAGAGCCCTTGTGGGAGCCGTTTGCTAGAGTCCACTGAAATGACCAGAGGATATGCTGCATAATTGAGACGTTCGCGTGGCGTTGGCAAGACCTACCCAGTTGGAAAGAATGCGTCCAAGAGGTCGCGAACAGCTTGTTGTCGATTCTCAGGTACACCGCAGGCATCTGCGCCTGGGAGCCCAGTCCGGCGCACGATGTCCAGCCATTGGTAGAATCCTAGAACATCTTGCTCTAGATTTAGAGTCCCGTCTGCGTTTCGAGAGGGCCGCAATATGGTTGACCGTAAGAGTCCTGCTCCCGCAAATGCTGTGAAATTGTCCCAGTCGATGCTGGCCATGTTTGACAGAGTTCCTGCTGGATGTCAGTTGGATCGGCCGTCTTACCCAGAGGTGGATGTCTCTTGTGCGCGAGGCCTAAAGCTTCGATCTTGCTCCAGCAGTGCAGCAGGTAACAATGTTTTAAAAGTTTGATGCTCAATTTTAGGAAGCATCTTTCATGCGAAGATGTTAGTCCTCCGTCGAGGCAGATAAGGCTTGGAGGAGTGTCTTCATAGCAAGGTGCCTTCCAACAGCCAAAGTCCCTGGGGAATGGCAGTTGGTCAAGTGAGTGTACCCACTTTCGTTCGAGTGGCTATCTGTGATAGCGCAAGCCTCGGACTGTCTGTCCATGGCACAGTGAGTATAGAAGTTCAGCTTACAGTCACTTGCTGAGCAAGTGATACAAGGGGAAGGCCCAGTTCACCATTAGCAGCCAGTGTGAAGTGAGTGGGGCGCCCATGTACGGTAACGGTCACCGGCATCATTATCATTCATGTAGTCTTCAGCTCCAGCCACGGCGAGTACGGATAGAGTTCATCAGTATATGGCTAGCTGAGCCTTTATGAGGGCTCACATGTCTCATCCTTCTGGGATCACTTGCCTGCAGCGGAAGAATACGAGATGTATCTTAGCTACGAGCGGTAAAGGCCTTGGCTCCGTACTCCGGGAAATACCCTCGAAAGAATCCGCAATGTAGAAGAGCTCGGCTGATTTGTGTAACAATCTCACAAGGCATGCATGGTATGAGGGCCTACAGATGCTGAACGTGTCACACGCAGGAGGTGCTTTTTAGGTAGCTGTCTTGGCAAAGTTTGCGGGGAAACCCCCTTGTGCAGATGCTTAGACACCCGCTAGGTGCCTCGCTAGCACGGGTGCTAAGGCGGATGATGTTTTCTCTGCCAAACCTGCTGCAAGTTGAAACGCCACCAATTGACCTTTGGTGACCTAGACCGTGTTTTCTAATTCTGCAGCAACAACCGGAACCACATCTTTTGCTTACAGTGATATTAGCCGATCTAAGACGCAAACCAACCAACCTGGCATCTGATGCATACACCCATGTCATCTGCTGGCAGGTACAGCCAGCCTCAAGATCTCGGTCAAGCCACCCAAACAAGAGGCAAGCTGAGCGTGTTGTGAAATTCCCGCATGTGATTCATCGCTAAAGGGGCACCATCACCAGACGAGTTGCAGTGAACTTTTGCTGACCCCGCTGCGCATCGTCCACCATCTTTCGCGGTCACCGGTAAGGGACTGGTCTCCTGGTACGGCGGTAATCGTTTTTGCTTCAAAAGGTGCCATCATCAGAGTCGTCTGGAAACTGTCAAGCAAGCTTGCAGAGGATCACTTGTGACGGTGGAATCGCGTTGAAGACCTATCTGAAGATGGCTGTACGTATCATGTGATTTGTCCATTCCACGCGTCGTTCACAAAGCTGCAGGAAAGTTCTCCCCCTCCAGGCGCCATGTCAAACCCTCCGGCCCTTTCTGATCTCAGCGTGAGTTGCTGCCCATCCGACACTGGCTACCTCAAATTGATGATTTCAGGAGCAAAGCGTCCAAGCAGCAAGAGACCAGAACAAGGCGCCTCGGCCTCTGCCAGGCAAACCAGTATTTGTCGACCTAGGTCAAAACTACCCCGCCGGCTATACCTGGAGCAATGATCCGAAGGATATGAGCCTCGACACTTATTTCGACCCTGGCAAAGCGAACCTGGCAGATGAATTTGCCATCGATGGTTTGAGACCAATCTTGAAAGATACAAACAGCGAGCTGTATCTCCTCACGGCGAACAATGCCAAGTTCTACTTGTGGGCTGCGGACGACGGACGCTTGTTCGTGTTCAAGGATGATTTGAAACTGACTCTGGATACGGCCATCGATGAGGTCCTCAGTGGAATTAAATGGAGTAACTTGTTGCAGCAGTTTAATAAGAACTATGATTGAAGGTGGCTGCTGCCCACCCCGGCTATCACTGTGAGACTCGCACCTTTTCTTCCACTCAGCCTAGGTCTGGACCAGGCTTCTGAATTGTGAGATTGTTGTTGTCATCGTGAACAACCACGACAGCATCGACTCCCAGTTTAGCAAAATCGATCTCGAGCGCGGCCGCAGCTTTCTGGGCATCGGTGAGAACAGCCTTGGGCAGAAGATCAGCAACAAGGATCTTGAATTTTGCCTGTGGGGTGATTTGGTATGTCTGAACCGGCGCCGGCACGAATATGGCAAATGGGCCGACGTCTTTGTTCATGGATGATCCGAATCCAACGAAGTAATGCACTATGAAGATGTCAGATAACATGGGGTCATGAGAGTGTCAGGCTGCTCACTGCTCTTAGCGTCTTGGCTGGTAAAGTCATTGCCTGTCTGGACTGCAAAAGCCCCAGCCTTGCCTCCTGTCAACGACGGGGTTTTGAATGTTGGCGTTTCATTGTTGGTGACTTGGACAACACATTTCGTTCCAGGACTATCCGTCCCATCGGGAAGGGTCTTGCCTAGTGTAATTGAACACCTGTCAACGACCTCGACGATCGACACCACATCCGGCGGATTGGGGCTGTTCTCGCTGAACAGGGTCGAATTGTCGCCACCGGATAGAACAAGCCTCCCGCATGTCGCTTGAAGCTGTTTCCTGATTTCAAAGACCCCCAGGCCACTGTGTGCAGAGACGTTGTCGGCCACTGCAATCACATTGTTGTACACCTTGTCAGGCTTGGTCGAGCTGTCAATCAGTGGCGCCTCGGAAAAGATTGCGTAATTTTGACTCTGGCTGGACTGATTGTTGATGGTGATGATCCATGTTGGCGGTAGAACAGCGGTAAAGTCGTCTGGGATATCTCGCGTCATGTTTTCCGCCTTTTGAAAGACCCGCGTTTGATCCTGCACGACGAATATGGCAAGAGTTGAGCAGTGATCAATGCGGCATCAGAAGGGCAGGTCGAGTGTCTCCCCCTTTTGTTTCCTGGGACGACTCGAGGTCCAGACCGGCAAAGATCGCAAGAGACGGTCAATCAGATCAAGAAGGCGCAGTCGACGCCTAAAATCTCATGCGAAGGTGGTCTAGACTTGGCAACCCGATTTCGCATAAGTTGTAGCTGGAGCACAAAGCGAGCTGAAACCCCTTCGTGATTGTACCTCTCTACAACGACAGCGGAGCTGTGTGGAAGCATGCCCGGTTCAGCGAGGCACATGACAGGAGTGTACTCAAGTCGATCATCATACCTTGTAGCCCATTTCGTTGAGAACATGGCGGATGGCGCAAGCTGAGATATGTGAGTGTCAGAGGTCTAGGCTCTAAAAGACGGGCGAGAGGCTCATATCCTGTTGATCCCGGAGCTGCAAATAGCATGATCCAGTTCGAAAGCCAGTGCGCCACTTCGCAGCATGGTCATGTCCCCCCGCATACAGGCGAAACGGGGTCCAGTTCAGCTGCACAAATAGGGTGGAGCTTGTTGGCGACGGGGGGAATGTTTCTGTCTCATGCTAGATCAGATGTAATTCTCATTGGACAACGCATACCGGTTGTTGCCTGTCCGCGACGTCGGTTCCACCTCGAGAGCATACTTGCAATGGCTGGCTGGCTGTGGTAGGATGTGGAAGAGATTGCAAATGGTTATTGACTTCGAGCTCATGGCTGGCAGACCTATGATCAGCGGAACTGGCCTCAAATGGAAGCAAGCATTTGCCGGAGGTCTCATCTGAGGCTGACCACGGCCATTGACAAGGCGCAGGAGCATCCAGCATGAGAACATGTCATGCCCGTCCTCTCTTTTTCTTGGTTGGTCATGTTCATGTCAACTCACCGTCTCCCGTTGTGGATCGAACACAGTGCTGGCCATGTTGGATGTGGCCTGGCCAAAGGTGCATTCAGCTACGCCATCGACACCACACAATGTGTGCATGGAGTGCTCGATGCTCAACTTTTCAGCTCGCCATGGAACAACCTCACTTCCAAAAGCCATTGCCTGTTAGGGCCCTGCAGCGAGAAAACGAGAAACGTGTACAGAGATGTTGGGATCCAGACCTGATTCAGTGCCAAAACCGGGTAGCCCGCGTGCCGATTGTTTCAACAGCGTTCAGCGCTTCAAGGGTATATAAATATGGCTGCCTTCCCTGTGTTGACACTTTTCTGCTCCGTCAACAACAGCAATCACTACTTCCACTTGACTGAAACATTATCAGCACCTGCGACTTGGCCCTCGATCCGACAAGATGGTTAATCAATTCACAATCCACGTGGTGAACAACTCTGGCAGCCAGCAGACCTATGCCTTCTTCACCGAGATACCCAAAGTCACGGGCAAAGTCCAAAATAAGATTTGGCAAAATGTCTTCGTCAACAAAGGGGCAGCCGACAGCCAGACGGTCTCTGTCAGCATATTCGAGCGCAAGTCTCTTTCCTTTCCTTTTCAGTGTCGCCGTCACTCTCCTGTACATGAACTGACAGCGATGCACAGAATACTTTGCCATGTGTGGTTCAGCTCAGGGTACACCTGCCGATGGAGTCACCGTTTCCGTAGCAGGCATGGCCCCGGTCACGCTAGGCATCCAGAACGCAGACGGAACGCAGGTTCCGGGGACGACATTGCCCTTCACTGTTGTCGACCAGGTTCCTCAATTCGGCCCGAAGGCGGCTGACAGTTCATTCGTCAATGCCTTCGAGATCGACACTGACGGAAGCTTTACTACCAAAGATGCGCAAAACAGTAAGCCGAACTCGACAGCATATTCCTTCCACCCTCAAGCTAATTTCTTTCCTTCTCGTGGTTAGACCATTACGTGGTTGGCTTGGGCGGCTCCGCCGGCGGGGGAAAGACTGGACCGACAGTGACCTTCGTTCCAGAGCCCCATGTTCAATATCAAATCCAGCCAACCAACACCTATTGGGTCACATTCGGTGACTACACGCCAGGCAACATCATCGATGTCGCCAAGATCGGCATGAAGGTCTCCGTTGACTTCACGAAACTCCCGAACGACGTGACCATCAAGCACGACGAGCATGGCAACCTTACCGTTCAGAAGAGTTCTTGAGACCTCGTTCCCTAGACGTCCATGGGGCTCCTCACCGGAGATGGGGGAGGAGGCTCTTTCAGAGCCTGGCAGACCAGCACATGTGAGCAGAGTCGGGCTAAGTAGTGTTTAGTCGTATTGAATGATCCCAGGTGTTTTCTCTTCCACAATATCTTGAATTTTTTGCTACGAGCAGGGTTTCTCAGAAGCCAAATGCTTCCCATACCTGACAAGACGATCTACATCTGTCTGGGGTGAGCGACATAAATTGTTGCGACTCCTGATTTGAGAACGTAAAGCTACTCGGTGTTGCAAGTGAAGGAGTTCCCGCTCGCCGCCACCCCTTGGTTGTGGACATGGAATATCAATCTCATGAACCTGCATCTAATCTGTAGGTAGGCATTCATAGGAAAGAACCGTCGCACGAGTTGTATCTCTTGAGTCGCAAAACGAAACCAGCGCAAGGGTGAGGAGATGCAAGAAGAAACCCTAGCAAGTGCCCAGCCAGACAAGGCGAAAAGAATTATGGAGAAACATTAAACCGAACGACGAAGGTATATTGAGAGGTATAGGAGAGAGGAGAGAGCCGACGACCCTGAGCCCGACGTTGAGCCGGACGCGAGCCAGCCTGAGCAAAAGCGGCGCGAGGTCACCTGGAATGGAAGGTGAACCGGCGGTCAGGCCTAGTGAGCCTCAAGTTTAGCCACGGCTATCCGCTTGAACATGGTCCAATAAGATATCTGTCGGCCCGCTTTTCTGACAGTCAGAAACAAGGCCAGCAGTCCAGAATCAGCCAAGAAAGCATAGATATAGGTCAGAAGTTAGACCAGCAATTTCAAATCAAGGTCAGGTCCAAGGTCAATTGTCCGTCCGTTCGGGTGAAGAGTTGGGAGATGGCAAGGTATAAATGAAGGAATCGTCGCACCGCTACCATAGGCTTCAACAAGACTCTCACAACAAAAAACCGAGCAAGGACACAGTATTTTCACACCAAACCTTCAATCTCAAGCAGAATGTCGAAGCCATCAATTCTCCTTGTCCCGGGTTCCTTCGCCCTGCCCGAGTTCTATGACACAGTCATCAACCCCATAGCCGCAAAAGGGTACGAAATAAAAGGCCTTCACAAGCCAAGTGTGGGCATTGCAAGCGGAAAACCTCGGGAAGGAGCACCACCAACCATGTATGACGACGCCAGCTTCATCGCCAAGGAGGTCCAGAAGCTCGCAGACCAAGGAAAGGACGTGATCCTCGTTAGTCATTCGTATGGAGGCGTCCCTGTGACAGAGAGCACCAAGGGATTGAGTAAAGAAGAAAGGCAGAAACAGGGAAAGAAGGGCGGGATTGTGAATTTGGCGTACATGACGGCTCTGGTGCCAGCTATTGGGCAGACAGCAAAGGACGTTCTGGGAGATGTTCCCAAAGAGCAGCAATTGGACTTGAAGGTTGATGTAAGTTTCCACCATTCTGTTTCCTGTTGTCTTGAAGCTCCCTCTGCTGATATGCACCATGAAAACAGGAGAACGGCTGGATGTATCATGATCCGGCCGAAGCATCAGCAGCTATCGTATTTTCCGATCTTCCCCTTGAAGAAGGTGCCGCCTGGATAAGGAAGTTCCCCAGGCACTCCGCTCTTAGTTTCGTTGGCGAATTGACCCATGCCGGGTACAAAGACATCCCAGTATCGTATTTGCTCTGCGAAAAGGACCTGTGCATCCCAGCAAACGTTCAGAGAGAAGGGATTGACCGGATTGAGAAGGAGAGCGGGAGGAAGGTTGATGTGACGAGTATCAAGGCCGATCACTGCCCCATGGCTGGCCAGCCCGAGGTAGTGGTCGACTGGATTCTGAGCGTTGCGGAAAAGTATTAAGATAGTGGAAGGGGGTTAAACTGAGGTCGAAGAACTAAGAAAATGACACATTTGACCAGTCCGGACATTAACTTACACAAGATGTGCCGGTATCGAACTTGAGCTTCACGCGTCGGCCTGGGAAATGGATCCTCAATAGAACAGGAAGCCCCATTTGACGGCAAAATAACTCTCAATCTTCCAGGCTTTAGGGTCCCACGTGGCGAGGCCAGGCACGATGTTGAAGCTTGGCATAGTGAATAGGTCTCGGGTGAATTCTTCTTCGTCAATGACGGCACACATATTGATGAGGTTATCTCGCATTTTGGAAAAGGGAAATCTGTCTATGCCCGGTTGATGAATCGTGAGCAGTTGAGTCGGCGTGGGTTGTAACGACAGTGGCACGGTGGAAGAAGCAGGGGGGGATAGTGCCGGAACAGCCGAGCAAGCTTTCAAGCCTAGAATCATGCCGTTGATAAACAAGGCGCTGAACACGGTGGGTGAGGGACGAATCTCATAGCTGAGGTTGGTAGTTTGTGCAGCTATTGAGGATTGAGGTGACGGACTCGTGTGCCCCATCGAGGAAGCTGGAAAATTCTCGAAACATGCCATGGTGGCAACACTGATTTGAGATCCAACCTGAGCAAGGACGTCAAGGCTGGAGGGAGTACGGTCTTCTGTTTGCGTGGCACGACTTGTATGATCCATCTCGTGTGTATCCTGTTTGGCCGCTCGAATTCGTTTGCCTGAAACAGGAATTAGCATGAGTTCTGCGCATCAAGCGACAGACAAAGCAGAAGCAGAAGCTTGGGATAACCTGAACAAGTACATCGAGTTCCAGGTTATTGCATCACCGGCCACAAGCAAGAGACAAAACGACGAACAGCTCGATTCGAGGGAAAATGTAAAGTGGTGCGACACTACAAGTTCTTGGCGAACACAGGAGGTTGAAGGATACCCACGTCTTGCACGCTGAGCCAGCTTGTCTTGTATACGCTTTCTCGTCTTTGCGTCCGCGACACCGTGCCAATTGTCTTGATCACCCAGAGGTGGCTGGAGATCTGCGGGTGGGGTCTCCATGATCAGGGTGATCAGAAAGTGTGGAGACTAGCTTCTCTTCCGCTAGTGGAAAGAAACCTTTGTAAGTACTACAAGTAGATGGGCAGCAAGGTAGTTGAATGTGGTGGATTTCGTATAGAAAGAGGACGAAGTCGTTGCAGCAAAGCCTGACTGCCTGACCACGAGTCACGTGTATTGAAAAGCTGACAAATAATTGCGTATCTCTATCTCACAGCCGACCCTACTAATACGGCGGACCAGGTCACCACCAGAACCAATATCAGCTGATGGCCATCTCTGGTAGCATCCTCCAATCGCTGGTGCCCACCTAGCCTCCATGGTCACTTTTGCTGACGGTCCCATGGTTGCGTCAGCACCCTGCGTATCGATCAGTATTCAATGCGCACAGCCCAAAAAGAGACCAGCTCACCCACTATTAACCCCCTTGAGACATTGTGTTCTGTATCTGGAATCTGCAACGCCGATCATGGCTCGCTCTGTAGCGTCACAACTGGAGCGGCTACCCCAAACAACAAATTGCCTCGAAACAGTGCCATTCGAGTGGACACAGAGGTGTGAGACCGCACAACCAGAGGAAAGACAGCGTCTGCGAGTATTCCATGAGATGCAAATGCATTTAAAGCTCTGGATTGTCGAGATACGATGAAAAATCTCAACTTCCCACGAGTCATCACGCTCGTCTCATTTATATCTATTGTCTAACTACTAGCCAGTAATCAAGTTCTTTGGTAAGAAATGCCGCTGCTCGAATTGGCGACGGTGCGCCTACACCCGTCGTTGACTTCCAACCTACCCGACTCCTTCACGGCAACGTGGACTCGAGCCTGCGCCCTCGCTACATCTGCAGCAAAAGGAATTCCTTTCCAAATTTACCACTCCACAACCCCGTCAAGCAAGGACGTGTACTATCTTGTCGGCGGCTGGCAGAGCGGTGACGATCACATTGCCTTCCTCTCGACCCCCGACGCGGTCATTCTAGCCAAGAGTATTGGCGAATACATGACCGTGGAGCTTGTGCAGCATATTGATGGAGACATTAGGGTCTTGAACAGGGGGGATGGAGAGAGGCCAAAGAGACTGAAGGTCACAACATATAAAGTTCCAAAATCAATGGCCGATAATTGGGCATTGAAGTGGAACAACAGCCGACTTGCAGGTGCTGGAGCTGGCGGACGGGATATGAGCTTTTCGGTGCAGAAACAACACAAAGCCTTCAAACAGATGGGTGAGGCGACGAATAGTGTTACTGCATTCGGCGGGAAAGAAGAGGGTGACAGCAGAACCTGGGTGTGGCTCGAGGACAGTGGCAACGAGTTTGGACAAACTGAAAGACCTGAGCTCCCGTTTGAGGGATTTGACGCAGTTCATGCCGAAGCGTTTGAGATGGAGCATGTATTGGGATAGTCGCCAAATTGTTAGCTGAGAGGTACAACAACCCAGTATAGGAGCCGATCATGCTTGTGATGTTTCCACCTCTTCTTGGCTCCGAAGCTTGTCATAATCAATGTTCAAAGTCTCAGCGCTAGAGAGTGCCGGTGTATAAGATTGTCCATATAGGCGGCAGGACAAATAAAAATTGTCTTCCGCGGCAGATGGAAAGGCTCTATGCACCAAAGATAACGAGTCTGGCGCTGACACACTGCAGGGTGAGGTGAATCTTTATGCATCAACCAGGTTACTGGATAATACCAACCAGGTAAGCTGAGTGCATAAATGGCCTAGCCCTTCTCACAGCTGCGCTTGACAAAACTTGTAACATTTACAGTCTTTCCCCATCGAATCTCCGACGAGAAGTTGGCCTTGTCATTTGTTGGTTGGAGTCGTTTGCAACGTGGAAATTCGTTTAGTTGGCAACGGGCTTAACCCGGCCTGTCAAGCGGCTGATTCTGATGATTCAGCGCTGATTACATTCCAAGTTGGTTCCCGGGCGCAAATATTGAGTGCCCGATCATTTTTGACGTCAGACTGGGGTTTTTATCGGAACAGAGAAACCTCGATGAGCAATATTTCAGTCGAGATCCATACCGCCGCCGGGGACAACGACTGGTGGGGGTTGATTCAGCCGATGATAGTCTGCCCAGTTCTGCATCTGCAC